CGTTTCTCACGATCAAATGACGCACAAAACGCATTCACAGGCACAGATTAACGTGAAGTGTCTCAGTTGTTACTTCGCTGTCTCTGAAAAGCGCGCCCTTTTCGCATATGGAGACTGTGCAACGGGCGCAGTGACCTTTGTGCGTCCGGCAACTACAACAGAATCGTTCCAGTGAAAGCCCATTGTGTATGATTGTCCCCACCGCGTGATAAGCGAGCGCTCGCGGGGCGAAGTACACGTGGGAGTGAATGAGAGCGCGCGCCGCCGCGTCGTGAAGATTTGGCGACGCTAAGAACTTGTTTCATCCAGGGACCTTAGCGATGCGCGCTCATGGTGCCATCTCGCTGGTAATGCTAAAAACACGATAGTTTCCCCCGAGATGCCCATCGCCAGCGGTAAGTGGTAGATATAAATAAATGGCTGCCACTTGAACGATAGAAGGCGTGCTCCTTCGTGGCTCAGTGGCTAAAGTACCATTCATGCGCCAATACAATTAACTTTTTTGCATTCGGGAAACAACGTTGAAAGGGACAATAAGGGGCTTTTAATGAGTGCTGATTCAATATTTTAGTGAGTATAAAATAATGTACAACAAGCAGCTTCCCCTCAAAAACCTGCACCTTGTATTCTGAGTGGCTGTCCAGAGAGATCGGTGCGGGACGCAGGGGTGATGAGTCTGATGATGTACGCCGAAACGGTGACGGAGAACGGCGGCGAGATGAACGAGAAGAATGAGGCCCGGCTTGAGACCGTGGAGGGAAGGGCGACCGACGGTAGGTGGACGGTTGCGGTATACGGGATCGTAGGTATCGGGTCTTGGGGCAAAGTCGCTTTCGTAAGCTGAACAAGCACGCCGTTTATCCTGCTGACGGTGGCGGCAGAAATGGGATATATGACCCCTTACGCCACAGTAGAAGCATAGAGGCGCGGAGGATGCCATGGCCTTGGCGCCTGCGTTGCCATCGCCGCCAAATGGTCGCATCCAACGTCCACAGGCATGATTGGAACTGGTGCAGGGGCCCGTGATGCAACTTCTGCGTACGAAGGCGCACAAAAGGGCACAGGAGACGGGTCATATGCGGCGCTTGTCATCAATGCCAGCTCGTTCTTGACTGTCTCACGCAAGTTGGCAGGAAGAGTGCTGAGAGACGCAATGGTTGGGTTGCCCGGAACAATGCTGTGGAGTTCCTCTCTGACAATTGTGTGGATAAGGGCCCGCAATTCATGCTCTACAGTAAAGCGAGCGTCGCATGAGGCGTGTGGAAGGCGCATGGAATGAAGCGCGTCCAGGCATTGGCATGTCGTGATGGTGTCCTGGGCTGTAGCTGGATTCTGGATAACGAGCGCATTAAAGGCCACAGAGTTGATAACTTTTAGCAGGTGTCGGATACGATCGGCTTCCGTCATGTCATTTTGGGCTCGACGACAGAGAGCCAGAATATCTTCAATGTAGGACGTATACGATTCATCGTCCCCCTGGATGCGGGTTGCGAGCTTCTGTTTCGCTACTGCAGAGCATCCTGCAGAAGTGGCAAATATCTGAAGGAGATGCCCCGTGGAGGCCAAACAATCGGAAAACTCGCTCTCGTGGTTGTAGTACCAGGTTTTTGCGACACCATTGAGGTAACAAGGAACGTAGCGCTGTTTGTGCACCTCGTCCCAATAATTACAAATGCTGGTTCAATCATAGCTGTCCAACCATTCTTTGACGTCTTTGCCGCGAAGGCAGGAAGATACCGGTGGGTCTCGGTGAGAGGTACTCATGGTGTAGTGAGGCCTAAGTGGCTCAGAAAAAGTGGTTGCAGCAGCCGAGTTGGGTTCTGCCATCGCTGTTGATTGAGGGTACAACCGTCGGCCAGAGCGGAGCTCCAGGAGTGACCGGTAGAACAGGAGGATTTGAGAACGAAAGCACGCTCCACATCATTTATGAGACGACGGCCGGTATGGCAGTAAACAGGTTACCTTTCCAATCCAGACGCACGAGCCAAAAGCGGCCCTGCCCGCGTAACAGACGATGATGATCACTATGGTTTTGTCATAAAGATGTAGATGAAGTATATAGTCAGTGCTCACTATATATATATATATATATATATATATATATATATATATATATATATATATATATATATATATATATATATATATATATATATATATATATATATATATGTGTGTGTGTGTGTGTGTGTGTGTGTGTGTGTGTGTGTGTGTAAGCTGATTTTGGTTTAGCCGCACTTAACCATGATAAAACTCTGTTCCGAATAATTAGCACTTCATATTAAAACAGAATTGCATCGCCTGAGAATCTATAGGAGGAGGGAAATAAACGAATCTAGGAGGGAAATGGTAAGATGGTCTACCTAGTGCGCCCATGGTTCACTACCCAACATTGGCGTCAAGAAAAAAAAAACTAGGTACACAAAGAAGGACGAGCTCTGTACGAACAGAAAAGAGCGCACCGCAGTATTACAAAGCGCCGCTAATGCCGACATGCTGAAGAATCCCGAACAAAACCACAATGTCCCTTACACACTATTCGATCTAGGGTGAAAGTCACCTTCTCCACCATTGTCTTGTGCCAGTACCCAATCCCGGCCTTACCAATCTCCAGTGCTAAAGCTTTCTCCAATTGGGATGTTAAACCCCATCAATTATTTTTCAAGATTTTTGCATGTGACGCGGTGTTTGTTGCGTTGACTCGTGGAGCCGCTGCCAACCTTGGGCCAAGCGACGATGTCCGCTCATGATGTCGTCATAGGACCTCATGGTGACGTCACCGATTTGTGCGATTTCTTACATCATTGTGGCTTCAAGGAACAGCTACGAAAATGACAGAGCAACACCAACAACGACAAAAAAAAAAAGAAAGAAAGACGGACAGATCACCCGTCTTCTACCACTGTCCTGTCGGTGTTTGCGCTGCTTGTTAGATTACGTACACCCGAGAAACAGAACTATCAACACTTTTTTTTCCTCATGCTGGCGTCATTGGGGAACCATGACCTCCGAGATAGCAGGCGCGCGGCGTGGTTCACGCCGCGCGCCCGCAGTCTCGGAGGCCATAGGTAAACACGTGTCTTTTTCCATCATTCATGTTGACGGCGGCGCCCCCGTTCACTTTTTTTGTTTTATTTGGTGGGGCACCGGAGGCTTTTGCCGCATCAACGGCGACAGTCATCATTTTTAAAGACGATAGTCTTTTTTGGGGTCCTTCGACGCAAAAATTTTGGTCTGTCTGCCTGTACATTTGTCTGTTTGTCCACTCTTACCAGCATCGGGTACTTGAAGCGGCCGACCCCATCCGCAGCGACCACCAATGTTGCTCAAGGTTGAGCGTTCATGCTTGTGCAATCGTCAATTAAAAAGCAATCATTGCGCATGTCTGGAGCACCATAACAACACGCATATATTTTGCGTATGCATCTCTTACTAGAAAACGCATACATAAGTAATTTTTGAGGACCGTAGCGCTTACCATGCAACGCTTGCACGGAACGGGAAGTGTTTCCAACGCTGTGCTAAGACGAGATGGTGGTGGCACCTACCCGTTTTTTTTTTTTTTTTCAGATTTTGTTGGTGGTTGGCTGAGAGTGGTGCCTGTCAACAAATAGGTTGGGCAACGGTGGAACAGTGGTTAAAGTGATCGGCTACTCATCCTAAGGTCGCGGGTTCGATGCCGGCCACGGCGGTCGCATTTTGGGTGGATGCGAAACGGCAGAGGCCCGCATACTGTGTGATCTCCATGGACGTTAAACAAACACCAGATTTACATAATATCTCTCATAATCATATCGCGATTTCGGGACGTAAAACCGTATATTATTATTGGGGAGTTTTTGAATGGCGCACGCTAGGTTAAGGGCCGTTAGGGGCGTATATAGCGTTTGCGTATAGGCACCGTATGAGCTTTAGAGTATATAGCGTTTGTGCCTCGCGGCGCATAATCTCCTCGATATCCCCGCAAAGGGGCTTTGCGGGCCGAACGCTATTCCGGGTTTTCTGCGGGCGGACCGCGACTGCTAACGGTGGTTAATGACGCATGCGCAGTGTCAGTGACCGCGACAAATAGGGTACGCAAAGCTTGGCGTACGCTATTCGAATGCTCACTGTTACGTTAATATTTAGGCTAAACGCCGTATCGAGTGTTTAAGTGCACGATAGGCGTTCGTCAAGTGGACGCGTATGTATACACCCTTTCACTGTTTACAAACACCGACCCTTGATGACCCCCGGTTTCATCCGCCAATGTGCTTGAATAGAATCTGTGGGCAAGGAGAGCGTTAGAAAATAGCCCGCTGATTTTCTACACTCTCCTTTCCTCATTTGGCAAAATACATTCAAACAAATGTTCTTTTGAGCTACATAAAACTACAAAAGATCGCCCTGAACATTTCGCACGTTTTTTTATCTGAATATTTAATAAAATACTTTCTTTATAGTTAAAAAAAACGTGAAAACGTCCTTTCATTTTCGACGTTACGAGCTGGTAATTGAAGTGACCGGAAGTTAGTTTTTTTTGGGGGGGGGGGAAGGGGGGCACAACGCTTGCATTCTTGAAAGCGTCTATAGCCTAAGCCACGCAGCTTGATATGGTAGCGAATAAGAACCGTGGACCGACCGGTCATTTCGTCCTTCCCGAATGAGCTGTAGTCCCTGGACGGTCCGGTGAGGAAGCTCTGGCTGCCCCGTCCCTGTTCCCAGTTGAAGTCGTCGTCCGTGTCGGCGTTCTGCCAGCCGCAGTAGCCGCCTTCGAATGTGCAGTGACCTGCATACAAAAGGACACACACGTCTATAATGGTGAACTCGTTTAGACACGGCATTGCGTGAAAGGAAAACCTGTAATCGAGAAAAATTCATCCCTCCTTATGGTATACGTCTTATGAGTAAAAAGAACTTATACACATAAGGCGAGGACTAGAATCATTTTCGGATACTTCAAGAATGAATAAAAAAAAAGTAATGAATGTAAGTAAACAGTCACGTGATAATAAAGTGAACGTACGTGTGCTGTCAGCGTACCGAAGGTAACATCTCCTCAGTGTTACACGATGCATTCAATGACGTCACAGATCGCCCAAAATTGCGACGTCATGATGATGTCATACCATGATCTTCCATGCTGATGTCATCACACCCGGGGTTACAAAGTTGGAATGCGAAACAGTAGGCAAAATGGAAAAACTAGCCAAAGTAACGAACTTGGTGCAAAGGCAGTGGAAGTAGCCTATAAAAAGAGTCATGCGTGTGTGAAACAAAAGGCCCGCTTTAATTTAAATTGCTTAATGCAAATGCCTTTCAGTGCAAATGCAAATGAGTGCAAAAACCCTTCTGAATAACAAATTCTGAAACTATGTTAACTTTAGACACGATTTCGTGCAGTATGGCGGTAGCTTTGTGCACTGGTGCAGGAATGACAGTCTTTTCCCGTGTTTTTTCAGACTTGTCTTAAGAGGACTACAGCTAGCCACCTTGTGGGAAAAAAGGAAATGAGCATTGCGTAAATGCACTCAGAATTGGTGTTGCTGCAATTGAAACATGAGTTAATTCCTTTCTGAATTGTTTGTAGTGCGATGAGGAAGTTCGAACAGTTAATACTCCCTAGTCTCAGTCCCTACATAATAATAATAAATAACGCGCACAGGCTGTCGCCTAAATGATCGTCGATGAGTGTGGATAGTCCTGGACGCGGAGCGTTTTCAATTCTGTCGTTGACTTCCAATTACAGTTCAAATTCATGTTCGGCAATACATGGTTTGCCAAATTAGGCTCCATGCCACCATTTTCCACCGAGCTACAGCCATGTATCCAAAAGTACATTTTTATTTTCATGTATAACGGCAGTCAAATACAACTTTGGGAGCGGAAAACACGCCTTGACCGTCATGTTTTGACACCGTACAATAGAACGTCGGCGGTTTCTACTTCAAAACACGTTGATAATTTCGTGCGAATTGACATATTCTTTCTGCGACCACTGGCCTAAAAAAAAAGTCACTAAATTGGCGCGAGGTAACAAAACCTGGCCACACTGTACAGAGGCTGAGCGAAACCGCGTTTAGTGCAGAAATCTGTCGAAGCGAGAGGCAGGAGGAGAAGCATCGAAGCAATAGTCTGAGCAAAAAGAGATGGCTTTCTAATAGTTTAGTTTAGGAGAACGCGTAAGAAACGATGCAACTTTTCGCTTCTTGCTTCTTTGCTAATCTGATATCGAATTCGTGACATTCGGATCGATAGCCGGCTTTAGCGCCGGCTGCGAAGCGTATACGTGCCGATGTTGCTCCATACAGATTTAAAAAAAAGATATTGCGACTGCCTAGATGCATCGAGGCACTCTAGCCCTATAGTGGTACCAAGCCTCAAGGAAGTGCCGAGCTGGGCAGCCTTGTTTCTCTTCAGCGTTTCTCTCTGTTCACTTCTCTCTTTCTTTCTTGTTCTACTTTGCAGTTTCTCCATGTTTTTTTTTTTAATTTTTTTAAAGACGATAGTCTTTCTTGGGGACCTTCGACGCAAAAATTTTGGTCTGTCTGTCTGTCCGTCCATCCGTCTGTCCATACGTCCGTCCGTCTGTCTGCCTGCCTGTCTGTATGTCTGTACATTTGTCTGTTTGTCTACCTTTAACGGCATCGGCTACTTGAAACGGCCGACCCCATCCGCAGCGCCCACCTATGTTGCTCAAGATTAAGCAGGTTCACACTTGTGCCATTGTCAATTAAAAAGCAGTTAGTGCGCATGTCTGGGGCACCATAGCAACACGTATATAATCTGCATGTGCATCTTTCGCTAGAAAATGCATACATAAGTATTTTTAAGGACCGTAGCGCTTATCACGCTGCGCTGTCCACGCAACGCTTGCACGAAAAGGTGAGTGTTTCCAACGCTTTACTAAGACGCGATGGTGGTGGCACCCCTCGCCTGCGCACACCCGTCTCAGAGCCACGCGCTTCGTTTTGCCAGAGGACTGCCAGGTGACGCTCATGTCTCACGTGTGACGTGATTGATGCGCTCGTTCGCCCCCGCTGCACGCTCGAGGCACTCTAACGCAGCGCCTCCATAATACCATTCACCGATTTTCTTGCGCAGAACATCAAATTAATTCTTCACTCTCTCCACACGCTAGACTATCGTCTTTTGACGACATTTGTAGATTACATGCAAATACGGGGCCACTTTTTTATTTCTATTTCTTTCCTGTCTTTTTACATTTTCAGTTTGCTTCATCTTCCATTTTTTTCTCGGTTCGTGTCGCGTTTCCCTCACCGCAATTTCGGCACCTTATATCCCTATCAAGGCGCTCGAAGAACTACAGGAAGAATAATTCTCTTTACGGCTTGCGCTCGCTCAATATGCAACAACTGGTTGTGCGTGGTTTTCGCCTGCGTTACGCCAAGTGATCACGACGGGACACGACAGCCTGGCCCTCTGAAGTGCTCCACACTTGAAATCACATCGGACATAGCCGAAAGAAACAACAAAAAAATTGGCAGGTCCCACGTACAGTGGGAATCGGTAATATGCGAAGCACGAATAAAAAAGGTTTATATGTCACTTTAAAATAAGCACAACTTTACGAGGTAGAGGTAAATGATGCCATACATGAATTCACTGTGACGATTATCATGTTTGGATGTGTCGTTTACCTTCGTCATCTAATAATGTCACGTGATACCAAATTTAGTATATGTGGAGCTAGCGAAACGGCCACGAGCACGCTATTAGCGTGGTTTGTTGTCATCTTCTTACATGACGCGCGTGTCTGGATTAGCATGTTTGCACCAGTCATATATTTCGTCATCCATTGACATCACATAACAATGAATTCGGTATATGTGGAGCAAGCAAAACAGCCGCGAGTGCATCATGAAGGGCCAAATATACTCCAATGTAGCATTGACGTGCACGCACGCTGGGCACAGCGACGCTATGTTAGCAAAACGCGAGCACTCTATAGTCTGACGCTAGGCGCGACCGGCGCTACCAGCGTCCGTCGGCACGGCCCGACGGCAACCGGCGTGAAATGCGTGCCGAGGCATTATCCACTCAACACCGCGTCTCCCTCTTTTCGCGAAGGAGGGACGCCGGATGCGCTGAAACGCGCATGCGTCAAAGCAACGCAGCGCGGCGCACACCTGCGAGTATATGGCAAAACTGGCACCTGGCGTCGCAACGCCGGCGTGACGCGACGAAATGAACGCCGGCGAGCACGCGCATCGCCTCACGTCGAAATGTATTGGCGCCTTGATTGTGGCATATACTCATGTTCTCACATGACATCCATGTCATGACTATCATGTTTTGCACCAGTCACATACCTTGGTCATTCATTGACGTCACGCAATACCAAATTTGGCAAGTTGAGAAGCCAGCGAAACGGCCTCGAGCGCATCATGAGTGTTGCATGTAGTCATGTTGTTACATGACACGCATGCCGTGATTATCATGTTTGGATGAGTCATTTACCTGTGTCGTATATTCGCGTCACGTAATACCGAGTTTGTACATGTGAAGCTAGCGAAACGGCCGCGAGCGCATCATGAGCGTGGCATGTAGTCATGTTGTTACATGACAAGCATGTCATAATTTTCATGTTAGGGTCTGTCGCATGTGTTCGCCATGCAGTCATGTCATACTATACCAGTTTTGCAAAATGCCATGTGAACAAAAACACTGAGAGAGCTGCAGGACCATGAAGTGTAAATCATGACATTTATGACATACGTGTCATGTTTTTTGTCATGACTAGTCAAATATGTTCTTCATACAGTCACGTTATGCAATACTAGGTTTGGTATCGATACCATTAACGAAACGGCCAGGACAGCTAAATGTAGTAGGCCACTGGATAGATAGATAGATAGATAGATGGTAGACAGACAGACAGATAGATAGATAGATAGATAGATAGATAGATAGATAGATAGATAGATAGATAGATAGATAGATAGATAGATAGATAGATAGATACGCTCAATGTCGCTGAAGTTCGCTAAGAAATGCTTCGCATTTAAAAGCCGAGAAACGCACCGAGGCAGTTGTCCCCGGCCTCCTCCATGCGGTCGAAGAGGATGTCGTCCAGGGCGATGTAGCCTCGGAACTTGCGCGCTGGGTCACCGCGCGGCTTGGGCACCGCCTCGAACCACACCTGCGATCACGTGATTTCGTGCAGCTGTGTGTTCAACTTTATATATCTACGAGGATGCGCTCACGCGAGGCATGAAGCGAATGCTCAAGATCGACAGTACGCCAGTAAGTATATCGCCAGTAAAAGGAGTAAAAGGACGCCAGTAAAACGAAGCGGCCGACAGCCTTAGCCTGACGGTCTCTACGTGGTGATGTTCCATTGCGCGACAGCGCTGGTCCCGCAGGACCTCAATAAAGTTATTTCAATGAATGAATGAATGAATGAATGAATGAATGAATCAATCAATCAATCAATCAATCAATCAATCAATAAACTAATCAATAAAACATATAGCTCGTGCTTAGATGGGCATATATGTGTGACGATAGGTCAGAAATATACTAGTAGGAACCACATTTCGCTAACGCGACATTAGACATGTGCAATATATATATATATATATATATATATATATATATATATATATATATATATTGTTGCGGGTTCGCGGCTATGCAGCTATGCGGGCGGTGCGAAGAAGAAGACGACGACGTTTTTGGGCTGTTCGAAATACACAACGGCTGCCATCTTGACTGCTGGAGTACTTTTCTACTCTAAAGTAGTAAATACATTCGCAACATTTTGGTGGTGGCGCTGGGTACGACGCAAGACGGAACTTCGAAGCGGACGTGTTCTCGACTGCCCGACCATGGCAACAGAAACCAATTCTGCCGCTCCTGTTTCAGCCGCGACTCCGGCGCAGCCTGTACAGCCGGTCGTATTGACGCAACCGCGCGACCCTGGCAACTTCTGCGGCACCGACCATGTTGACGTTGACGACTGGATTCCGAAGTTCGAGCGGTTTGCAGCAGTGTACCGGTGGGACCCTACGATGATGCTCGCCAACGTTGGCTTCTATCTCTGCGGAACAGCTGGCGCGTGGTTCGAGGCTCATGAAGCGGACATAACCAGCTGGGATACTTGCAAACAGAAGCTTCGTGACCTGTTTGGTAAGGCCGTCGGACGCCAGCGGGCCGCTTCTAAAGAACTCTCTGGTCGGGCACAAACTACGACCGAATCATATGTCACCTACATCCTTGACGTTCTCGCCCTTTGCCATCGTGCCGACCCCAACATGTCCGAGGAAGACAAAGTAAGCCATTTACTTAAAGGCATTGCAGATGATGCTTTTAACATACTGGTTTCCAAAGACTGTTCCACCATTGATGACATCATCAAAGAGTGCCGCCGATTCGAAGAGCTGAAGAGTCGCCGGGTCGCCAAGAATTTCTTGCGACTTCCGAACACGGCCGCTACGTCATCTTGCGAGGACCTTCAGCCGCCATGCAGTCAACCACATAACAACGAAAGTGTGGTTCGCATCGTTCGTAGAGAAATCGAGGCCGCGTCTCCGTCTTTTCTGACCCGCCCATCTGATGATCGACCAACGATCTCGTTGATCCAACAGGTCGTGAGAGAGGAGCTGGCAAACGTTGGGCTGCAGCCTGTGTGTTCGTTGACGGAACCTCGGGTCAGTACCATAGCGCCTTCTCCTGCACCAGAAAGATTCCGCCGCTATCGTGATCCTGCTCAGTGGAGGACACAGGACGACAAGCCTATATGTTTTCATTGTCATGGTGTAGGACACATCTCCCGCTACTGTCGTTTCCGCACGTATCCACCTCGGTCGTTTCCTGGCTATCGACGTGACGACAACCACCGGCCCCTGCAGTACAGCGCTCGTGACGATGGACCGTACAATGGCACTCCTGCGACACCAGTCCGCCGGTCCAGCCGTTCGCCGTCCCCGCATGACCGTCGCTCCAGGTCACCTCAGCACCGCCGCTATTCGTCGCCCCACCCTAGTGGACGCCCTTCTTCGGAAAACTGAGCAATGCAGCTCCCGGAGGTGACGCTGCATTGGACTCCCGACCTGAAAACCCTCTGCTGACCTTGACTACGGACAAGAACCTGCTTGATGTAGAAGTGGATGGCCTTCCTGTTACTGCCCTTATTGACACCGGCGCACATATTTCAATTCTGAGCTCTGACCTCCGTGCACGATTAAACAAGGTCCTTACGCCGCCAGAGTCCCTATTTGTACGTGTCGCTAGTGGAGCGACCCCGGCTGTGCTCGGAATGTGCACCGCGCGTGTGAGATTCGCCGACCGCCAGACGTCCGTTCTATTCCATGTTCTCGCTCACTGTCCACATGACGTCATCCTTGGACTCGATTTTTTGTCCGACCACTCCGCTGTAATTGACTGCTCAGCCGGCGTCGTGCAACTTGACTTGCCTGCGGCCACCGAAGAGTCGAAGATGGTACAGAACAAGCTTTCGTGCGCTGAGTTTGTTCGCCTCCCACCCCAAGCCCTAACTTGTGTCACAGTTGAACCATATCCCAGTGTTCCGGATGGGGATTACGCGGTCTTTCCCTCTCCCGGTGTTTTATTGGCCCGCAACGTTTCCTCCCCGTACACCATATTAACTGTCACAGCGAACAAGACGTGCCTTCCTCTTCTGAACTTCGGACTCAGCCCTCAAATCCTACCACAAGGCATTGTTCTCGCCACTCTTTCACCGTCACACGAGTGCCAGATCTCATCAGTGTCACGTGAACTGGCCACAGTCGCCTCGCCGAACCCGCATAGCACCGACGCAGCCAAATCTACACGGCTCAACAATGTAACTAAGATGATTGCCTCAGACCTCTTGCCGTCTCAGGTCAAAGACCTCACTGATCTTCTCACGAGCTATTCGGACATATTTGACTTTGACGGTAGGCCCATAAGTCAAACATCGCAAGTCAAACATCGCATTAATACCGGTGATGCAGCTCCAATTCACAGGCGTCCCTATCGAGTGTCACCATCAGAACGCCAAGTTATCCAACAGGAGGTGAATAAGATGCTCACAAAAGGCATCATAGAGCCCTCATCGAGTCCGTGGGCGTCCCCTGTAGTCTTAGTTAAAAAGAAGGACAATACCTGGCGTTTCTGCGTGGACTATCGGCATTTAAACAAGGTCACCAAAAGGGATGTCTACCCGCTTCCTCGTATTGATGATGCCCTGGACTGCCTTCATGGCGCAACCTATTTTTCTTCGATAGACTTACGCTCCGGTTACTGGCAGATCGCCGTGGACGACCTCGACCGGGAGAAGACCGCCTTTGTAACGCCTGACGGTCTCTACCAATTCAAGGTAATGCCGTTTGGCTTGTGCAATGCGCCGGCAACGTTCGAGCGGATGATGGACACGCTTTTGCGCAGCTTTAAATGGTCTATCTGCCTGTGTTATCTGGACGACGTGATTGTGTTTGCCCCAACCTTTAAGTCTCACCTCGAGCGCCTTTCCTCAATTCTTTCAGTATTTCGAGAGGCTGGGCTCCAACTTAATTCCTCGAAATGCCATTTTGGGCATCGCCAAGTTACTATTCTAGGGCATCTCGTTGACTCCTCCGGCATCCGCCCCGATCCCGACAAAGTCCGAGCTGTCCTGGATTTTCCTGTACCGACTTGTGTCAAGGACGTTCGAAGTTTTGTGGGCCTATGCTCATATTTCCGACGATTTGTCAGAAACTTCGCAGAGATCGCACGCCCCCTCACTGATCTTTTGAAGAAAGATGTACCATTTGAGTGGGGTCCTGATCAAGGCACGGCCTTTTCCCAGCTCATAACACTTCTGACCACGCCACCGATTCTCGCCCACTTCGACCCGTCTGCTCCAACCGAGGTCCGCACTGATGCTAGTGGCTACGGTATTGGCGCGGTTTTAGCCCAGCGTCAATCCGGTCACGATCGAGTTCTTGCGTATGCCAGCCGGCTCCTTTCTCCTGCCGAACGCAATTACTCTATTACGGAACGCGAGTGCCTGGCGCTTGTATGGGCAGTTGGTAAATTCCGCCCCTATTTATATGGCCGGCCTTTCACAGTTACCACTGACCATCACGCTCTATGCTGGCTTTCAGCCCTCAAAGATCCAACGGGGCGCCTTGCTCGTTGGGCTCTGCGCCTCCAGGAATTCACATACACAGTGGTTTACAAGTCTGGCCGTTTACACCAAGACGCCGACTGCCTCTCTCGGTACCCCGTTGACGCTCCAGATCTAGTAACCGACGACGCGTCCATCTGTATTTCCTCGCTCTCTGCTTTCGGCAACATGGGATGTGAGCAACGGCGTGACGCGTCCCTACGCGAGCTAATCGACCGCCTGAACACAGGCTGTACAGACAGTTCGCTTCGCATGTTCGTTGTCATAGACGGCATTTTATACCGCCGCAACATGCACCATGTGGGAAACGAACTACTACTCGTAATACCCACTCATTTGCACTCGACCGTACTTCAGCAACTACATGATGTACCAACGGCTGGCCACCTTGGTGTTGCCAGAACGTACGACCGTGTCCGCCGACGCTTTTTCTGGCCCGGCCTCTACCGTTCTGTACAACGTTATGTTAGGTCTTGTGAGTCGTGCCAACGCCGCAAAAGGCCAGCGGTACACCCCGCCGGGCTCCTTCAACCGATCGACGTACCTGCCGAGCCTTTCTATCGTGTCGGCCTCGACCTGCTGGGCCCTTTCCCTCTTTCTACCGACGGTAACAGGTGGGTCGCCGTCGCCATAGATTACTCGACCCGTTTCGCAATTACGAGACCTCTTCCAAGCAGCTGCGCTACAGATGTCGCCGACTTTTTGATTCAAGACGTCATCTTACATCATGGTGCTCCTCGTCAACTGGTCACCGATCGCGGTCGCTACTTTTTATCTAAGGTAATTGACGATCTACTTCGTTCTTGTGCAACCAAGCACAAGCTTACGACGGCCTACCATCCTCAAACAAACGGCCTCACAGAACGTCTGAATCGCACACTCACTGACATGCTCGCCATGTACGTGTCGACGGATCATCGTGACTGGGACATTGCGCTACCCTTTGTCACTTTCGCTTACAATAGCTCACGCCACGACACTGCTGGATATTCTCCCTTTTACCTTTTGTATGGAAGAGACCCGACATTGCCGTTCGACACGCTTGTACCCAACCCTACCGACCTGTCCACAGCATATGCTCGCCGCGCTATTAGCACCGCGGAGAAAGCCCGTCAGATTGCCCACCAGCGCCTTTCGGACTCGCAGCTCCGTCAGAAACGTAGCTATGACAGCCACCATCGGGACGTCCACTTTAGTCCAGGTGACCTCGTTCTTCTGTGGACTCCGTCGCGACATGTTGGTCTGGCTGAAAAGCTTCTACCCAAGTATTCCGGACCTTATCGTGTGCTACGGCAGGTAACTGATGTTACCTATGAAATAGCACCTCTAAACCCTTCGATACCTTCCACATCTTCCGACATCGTCCACGTCGCTCGCCTCAAGCCGTACATCTCGTCCAACACCTGCTAACAAGCGCCGGGTCGGCGCTTTTCGCCGCCGGAGGTCGATGTTGCGGGTTCGCGGCTATGCAGCTATGCGGGCGGTGCGAAGAAGAAGACGACGACGTTTTTGGGCTGTTCGAAATACACAACGGCTGCCATCTTGACTGCTGGAGTACTTTTCTACTCTAAAGTAGTAAATACATTCGCAACAATATATATATATATATATATATATATATATATATATATATATATATATATATTGCACGCAACAACTCTGAAAGGCAGTCGGTAAGCGTTGTTGCCTTGAAGAAGGGCCCCGGTGGGCTCTTTCTGCGCTGGCGTTTTGTGAGACCGTGCTCCCAAGAACACCTTAGCATGAACGTACCTGATGAACGTCGCCGTAGGTGTACGCCACCTCGCCCTTGGTCCATCGTCCGTCGTAGTTGTCCTGGCTCTCCCAGACGGTGATGTTGTCCTGCGTCTCGGCGTCCATGATGACCACCTTGAGCCGGTCCACACTCAGCCCTTCCAGGGCGTAGAAGAAGCTGACGCAGAAACCCATAGGCCCTGGGGATGAGACGAGGACCAATCGCAGCTTGTTTGGCCGTGGAAGCTTTCGCCCCCGTGCCCATACTGAGACATTTTGTGCTTCTTTTTTTTCCAGAGCAGCAAAACACTAGAACGGCCTTACCCGCGATATCGCCATAATCACCTGCCCATCCAGCTTCATGCACAACATTTCAAATGTAACTTGACATTGACGATTGTGACAATACTATGTATGTTAAGCTACCCCTTATGTAATACGATCTCAAGGGTCTTTAAAGAAAGAAAAATGAATGAATGAATGTGTATATTAAAGTTTATGAAAGAGCAAGGACACACTTCTGAAATGAGTCATCATAGGAAGCAAACAGACGATGATACCAAAGATTCGCACACTGGAAGTTATTTGTATTCTTTAATTGAGCTACAGATGCAGTGAGAAAAAGAGCGATAAAAGCCGGAAAAAAGCCGACATGATTACGAGTTCCAGGTTGACAACTTCAGCTGAGGGCATAGAGAAAGGCAACAAAAAATATAAGTTTCAAAGGAAGTCTATTTGCGGTAAATAGCGAGCACCGACCCAATTCACAAAAAAATCTATTTCTTAATTTTTTTATGTTTCGGCCTATAGCCAGGACGAAACATCACTCGTGCTTTTTTATTTGTTTTAACGATTGGTCGGTGCTTGCTATTTCCCGCCCAGAAGTTTCCCGAGCAGACGGGTTTCTGTCGAATCATGAACTGTAAAGGTCTACCACTTTATCTAGTCATATCACGGGTAACCACTCTGGAGCAACTCCAGCTGTACTCAGAAGTAGAGAAAAATAATGAATAATAAAGGGCGACAAAAGCGGATGAAATGGTAACGCCACTGAAAGGTTATTTACGCTTGGAAGAAATCCTTTGAACGTTATGCGACATACAGCTGGAACTACAGCAATGAAAGGAAGGGACACAACGCAAGCATACCCATGTGAACGCATTTACGAACAGACGAATTTATTGGAGTGTCCGCCTCTTTATATCCACTACTAGATGTAAATGGGCTTGCACTTTAATGTCTGAATATCCCTCATTTAGCATGAGCGTACAGGTCCTGCAACGTGATGTCAGAACTGGCTGTCTTATGGCGGACGATGTCTTAAGCTGGGAACGCTGTCTCAATTTATACACATCACATCCACAAGAACTGGCCTATCTCGACATATGTTAAGCTGCCTTTGTGCAGATGAGTGAGCTGACATAAAGATCGGCACTCCGCATCAACTGACTGACTATTTCAAGGATGCTGACCAACCAGGAAGCGAAGACAGAAAATAAATGGGCGAGTTGTGAAGGCAGCCCTGTAACTAAAGGCAACACAAGTAAAGGAGCAGCACTGTCAAGCCGGAAGTTAATTGAGTGCGTGCGTATCCATTCGCATGAAAGTAGGAAGTGGACCGTGCACTTCCGGTGGGTGCGTCTGCTGGTTCCGTAACGAAATCGCCCGGCGCCACGGTGTAAGCCGGCGCTTACGCGATTACGCGGCCTTCCGCCGCTCCGCAAAGAGGCGGCGCTGCAGTCACGGTTCGCAGCGCAGATGTAGGGCAGACCGTTTCCCCTTCACCGCTTGTGTGTTCGTAGAGTTGGTCCGTCCCTGCTGCTTTTGCCGTTTAGGTGTTTGGGTGCTGTTGTTCCGCTGCTGGCTTGTCTTCTCGTTCTTTCCATTGGTGCCGATGTTGCGTGCATGCTGTCGTAATCAGCGCTTCTAGTTCCACGAGAAAGAGAGTAATACGCCATCTAATGTGACATTGCTCGAACGTATCGATCACTTCGTACGAGCCTTGCTTTGGCAACGCCTGTTGTGGACGTGACACCAGGCTAATCATGAATGGTGTCCGCCGTGCTCGGCTGTTGACCAGAAGGTCGCGGGTTCGATTCCGGCCGAGGCGGTCGCGTTTCGGTGGGGGCGAAATGCTAGACTCCCCTGTGCTGTGTGATGCCAGCGTACGTTAAAGAGCACCAGATTGTCAAAATATAGGGAGCCCTCTACTATACCGCGTCTCTCATTATCATATGGTGGTTTTGTGCCGTGAAACCCCAGACTTCATTATTAAGTGTGAATACACTTTATAAGCGACCCCAAACCATCCACCGCCGTCGGCGGCGTCCGCAGTCTTCTCTCTATCCTTAAAAGAAAGAAAACTTGGCGGGCCGCAGCGCGACGCTCTACCGAATAAGCCACGGACGCGACGCTGATATCGGTGTCAGTAACGCGCCTTATATCTTTAACGCCGCTGCGCGCGTCCCCCTCCCCCTTCGCTCGCTCCTCCGATCACACGGGGGAGTTAACTCACTGGCGAATGCCAACGGATTTTAACTTTACTCCCCCTCATAGCATCACCCCGTGCGTTCGCACTTAACCATGTTCACCCTCGGGGAAGTGCTTAGGAGTTTTTATTCTATATGAAGATAAACTTAGGTGTTTATGGCGTTAATTAAAGCAATCAAGTGTGCTACTAGTAGATACTGCATCACAGTTAGAATAACTTGAGCAGACCGTTAATTGAGCTGCATATTTACCAAGATGCAAAGTGCGAGTCGTACAGTATTCTCCAATTGCTGTAGCAGAACTAATCCTTCTTCAATTCATGGTAATAGTGGGCTCTTGCTATTTCACAACTACAGAAACATTCCTACTAGAGAAATGTCACTACAGAAACCTTGGCATCACCGGTGCCTCGCACTTGGAGGTTTCCCATTCTTCCGCTTTTCTTCGTATTCTTTCCTGCGTATACCTTTGAGAGGTCAAAGCCAAACGTTGATGGCGTTAGTTGACAGATAAACTATTAATTCAGTGCCGACAGCTCTATGATTGGGCCTGATTTTGCATGCGACGGGTGCGCACGAAATCACCCCGAAACAACAATAAATTCTTGGGTATTACGTAAACCACGATTTCAGTACGAGGCAAGCAGTGGCAGGCGCCGCAAATTATCTCTAAGTATTCTGATTCGCGTACATTGAATGACAGACGCCGTCGCCGCGAATCGAACCAGCGCCCTCGTGTTCTGCAGCGCAATGCCATGGGCTCAAGACCATACACACAGGTGCGCACCCATGATGACAACACGTTTGAAGCTACATTTCCCACAACAAAGACATCATGCTGTGTTTTCAGTAGCATGTTTGGATATATACCTTTATCTGTGTTTAGTGAAATTTATTCTCACAAACAGTGGGCATCACTAACATTTCAACAAAACAGAGCATGCACTGACATAAAAAAAATTCTACAAAATGATATCTATATATATGTTCATTACATATATACATTACATATGTATTACATTGTATTACAAAAAAAAGCACAAATAAAACTTCAATATGCACGTTTTGCGTATTTACATGGTATTTCTGCCGGGACGGAGCAAACATCAGCCTGCTAAAACCTGGCAGGCCGAAAAAGTCACATCTTTGCCGAAAAGCCAAAGCAATGAACGCGATAGTAGCAAAGTGGAAGGTGACGCGCAGAATGGAAAGCAGATCGAAACGTGGCCCACGTTTCTCACGCACGAATGACGCTCGAAAAGTACTCACAGGCACAGAAGCACGCGAATAAGCGTCTCAGTTGTTACTTCCCTGTGTCTGAAAAGCGCGCGCTTTTCGCGAACGGAGACTCCAATGATTGCAGTTACCTTTGTGCGCCCGGCAAGTACAACAGAATCGTTCCAGGTAAATCCCGAGGCCAGCCAAGACGTACGATTCTCCCCTCCTCCCCACCGTGAGATAAGGGCTCGCGAGGGAGCATTGCTCCCCTCTTCATGCGGGGCAAAGTACGCGTGGGATATTAGAGCGCGCGCCACCACGTGATGTGGCGACTCGCGCTCATTGCGCCATCTTGCTGGTAATGCTGAAAACATAATAATTTCTCCCGAAACGCCCATGAGCAGCGTTAAGTGGTATATACAAATAGCTAGCCGTTAGAACAGTGAAAGACGTACTCCTCGGTGGCTCAGTGGCTAATGCCTCGCACTCACGATTGAGAGAATCCAAGTTTCGATTCATTCCGCGCGCCGGAGTTCTTTTATGGGTATTTTTTCCTTCTTGCATTTTCATATATATATATATATATATATATATATATATATATATATATATATATATATATATATATATATATATATATATATATATATATATATATATTATATATATATACGGTGAGTGACACTGGCGGCAAAATACAGCCGAGAGTGTCCATATAATTGATATCGCGATAAAACAAGCTCCACGCGTCCCTCATGCGTGCTAAGAATAAATTAATGCTTTAGAGCACTATACTATGGGACAGTCATAAGTTTTCATGGTTAAGCTCGTGTGTTTAGAACAAATGATTGGCAATGTAGAATACGGTGCACTAATTTACGGGAAACACACAAGCTGTTGTAATTTCAAGACGCAGGACTAATCAGAAGAAACTGTGTTCAGAAAAATATTGCAGCATATGCACGGAGTGAATGATGATGAGTGGGGCAAAGCTTCGGAGGGCTTTATTGGCGAATCATCCAACTGTGTGTGTGTGCCTGTTTGCCTGTCTGTCTGTCTGTCCATCCGTCCATCCGCACCTGCTGAGTGAGCCATCAAACTAGGCGGTCACCTGCTCAAAGCCGTCCTGTGGCCCTCACACTTGATTAGATGTGAACTTCAGGAAGTTCATCCCAAGGAGGTTTAAAAACATTGCTGGAGTGGAAAATTTTGGCCACGAGTGAAGCCGTACCAACCGCAAGATGGCGGCTGTGGTAGCCATCTTACTAGGGGCATGATGAGCTGTTGGCGTTCGGCGATTGAGAAGGAGCACGCGCAGTGGGGGTGTCGACGACACCGCCGACGCCACATTTGCGAGCAGGTGCTACTCCGTATTTTATAGTCGCACATCTGCCACATGGCATGAACCTGTCACTCGAATCCTACTATACTCCCCATCTCAAACTCCACCCGGAAGGAGGGGCAGGTCACCCCGATTGGCCATTCTGGTTGTCAAGCCCAAGCGTTCTAGTCCGGACGAGCTTAGCCAGCAGTATAGTTAACTAGGGTATATTCTAGTTCACCTCCAACGGTGTCACGTAATACGGTGTGCCACCTACCGGTTGTAGGCACCGACCCCTCACGGGGTGGTCTCTGCATACCTTCTTTTTTTTTCTCCTTAAGGAAACCAGTAAACATTATAGCCCCCTCCTCTCACTAAGTGAAACATACGATGCGCGGGAGGAATCTATTTTAACTTAGCGCAGAACATGATGGCGACGGCGAAAATGCGAATCGAGGGATTATATAATGGCTATCGCAACGACGCGGCAGGGGAACTAACAAACTCTCCCCTCCGTATATCGAACTCGTACTCACCCGTGGGCGTGATGTTCCTGGTGGCGAGCACCACGGACTCGTACAGGTACTGGCGCACCTCGGGCGCTCTCGTGGTGACCGCGGCCGAAGCCGTGGGCGCAGGCGGGTCCGCGGTTCCCGCTGCGGCGTCGCCAGCCGACGACGAGGCGTCGCCGGAACTCACGATGCTCGGACCGGGTCGCTCGTGGAACGAAGTCTCGAAGAAGACGTAGCCGCCTGCGTGAACGACGGCTCTCGTCGGACGTGGTCGCATCGCGGCATTTGTTTGCGAATGGACGCGCTCTCTACGAAATGAGATTCGAAAGAAGTATTGGTAATAAGGTTCAAGCTTATCATTCACCTTATCGTTCGCGCCATCATCATGATCTGACAAGGTTGATTTTGCACGACTTCGAAGTACACGCAACAAGGGAATATGATGACGATTTTTGTGCTGATTTCTGTACCCTCGCACCACAAGATCGCTGTCAGTTGTCTCTTTTTTGTTCGCGCTATCGTCAAACCAATATATTTCGCTGAGGGGTCATTGTGGTATCTCCTAACAAACAAACAAACAAACAAACAAACAAACAAACAAACAAACAAACAAACAAACAAACAAACTAACAAACAAACAAACAAACAAACAAACAAACAAACAAACAAATAGATCGATAAATTAATAAAGTCATTGACTAACTAACGCAATGAATAAATACTCAGCGAGACAATGGTCGCGTCTCTTACTTGGAGGTTGCTATAGTCAGGCCGTTTTAGAGTCACCGAACACTCTCCTTTCATTGTTTTACACTCCCGTCCCCCTTTCCCTGTTTACACCCCCCTTTCCAACACAGCGTAAAAAACTGGGGATTTCCTCTAGGTGAAGGGACAATAAAATGAAATGATAAATTAGTTTAGTTTTATAAATCATACCCTCAACACACTGGTGCTGGTGATTTCGCCACCATATAGCTTTGTTCTTGCATCACCGTTCCAAAAGTAAACGAAAGCTCTGTTGCGTTTTCTGAAGGATATGAGACTCGTTCACCCTCTGTGATATCCAACGAGGAATAGTGATGTCAGGTGATACAGTGATGCTTCTCTCCTCCTCTCCAACTTTCCTTCCCCTCCCCCCTTCCCGTGCGCAGGGAAGCTTTTCCGGCTCAGCCCTGGTTAACCTCAGTTTTATTCTTATTCGCTCCTTGTCTTTCTCACACAGAAAATCAATGTAGAAGTTTCACTTTTAAGTTTCCCGCTAAAGTTTTCTGTGCTGACTACGTGGGTGTTAAAGTGTTTCCCACAGTGACCACATTGATTCAACGAAATTTTCTGAAATTCGATGCACTAAGGCTCTGCTTCTCTCATAAGACAATCTAACACAATTTTATCGATTGGAAACTACGCCGTCAAATTGTGTGACTGGTATGGGAATATTAAGATTGCGTCATCATTACCATCGTCCATGTTTGTGTTTGCACGCTTACGGAGAGCCTTTTCGCAGCATGTGTCGTGTTTCTGGCATCGCGAAAGAGTAACCTACTAATACGACCAAAATCATAGAGTGTTCTTTTAACCTCCCGGCCTTTTCCCTGTCTCCCTGTCTAAACGCTGTAACCAACTTGCCGGTCTCTGTGAGCAGAATACCGCAGTTCAAACAAAAACAATAAGATAATTCCGCATACCTTCCCCGGTGTTGAGCGTGTGGTCTGTCCTGGGTCCCCCGAGCCACAGCGCAGTGTCTCCCTTGCCGGGTTTCCAGGCCATCTTGGGCGTCGCGTTGAAGTAGTTCGTCCAGTCGCACAGACTCACTTCTTCGGCCTGTCCAAAGTCGCACGGCTCAGGCTTGACGATGAACTCTGCGTCGCGCGCCGACAAGTGGCGCAGGTCAACGTCACGTGGCATGGCGAAGCACTTTTCCACAACCTAAAGACAGCGGCGTAGCTAGGAGGTGACACACAGGGCCGTGAATCTCCCCCCCCCCCCTACGGCAATTTTTTTTGCCATGGCATGCAAAGAGAAATATAACCATTTAAAGGGGGGCCCTCCCCCCCAAAAAGAACAAAAAATCGAGAAGGCTCTTCCCCTGAAACATTTCTGCTTACAGCCGCACCTGAAAAGCGCAGTAGCCGCGGAACATACTGTCACCTCCACGTGCAGGAGGGTCACGTGGCCTCAGTGGAAACGTGACATATGACGTCATCGGTAGACGCAACAAGTGAAATCAACAGAAATTTAAACCGAGGAAAACATAGGGACCATTTTTGTTGTTTTTACTTGCGTTAAAAGCCTATGGCCTAAATTGACAGGAACTCAAGTGATGAAAAAGAGAGAGAGAAACGAGAAATAAGAAAGGCAGGGAGGTTAACCAGATGCTAGTATCCGGTATGCTACCCTACACTGGGGTTGGGGAATAGGGGGTTGATAGAGAAAGGGAGAGTGAAAAATAAATAAGAGAAAAACACCGACACACACGCACACACAAAATCGGTCTACTCAGAAGCGTTCCGACAGGCCAGTAGTTCGATCACCCTTTAAGTCGATGGGATTAGAACCAACAAGTTTCGCAATTCGCATCCAATGATGTACCTTATTCGAGATATACGACGAAGTGCACGCCCTTGTTTACTTCTTTGAGCACTTACAAGCGCGTAATTCCGCACCCCGCCAAGGTCGCAGGTGTGGAACCCTCACCGGCACGTCGCTTTCAGGACTTCGTGTCGAGTCTCGTTGAGACCGCGGGTGCAAGTCGAAATACCGAGGACAGCTAAGCGCCACGGCGTGTAGATACCAGCCTTTTATTGAAACGGCTGATTTCTTTGCACTGAGAGTGCCAAAAAATCACTACCTATCATGCAATATGCAGAAAAACTCCCTATATTTGAAATTTTCGCGGTCTTATGACGGCAAACGTCATGTTTCCGCTCAAGTCACGTGGTCATTCCGCACGCAACGGCAGCCAAAAGTTCCCACTACTAAGGAACTTTCGCACCTGAGTGGACTGAAACACACGACGGTACATCGTATCAGAAGTGGCGACCAATACTGAATGCTGTCAAAAGAAACATTTACAATGTGTGGATGGTAACAGCCCCTATGAAGTAGCACCTCCTGGCGCACATGTTTCGAGCATAGGCCGCCGCATTCAAAGGTCACAGCTATCAAGCGGCAGGTGGCGTGCTGTTCGCGAGCGTTTATCACCACCATCATCATCATCATGGTTAGAACGGTAGCGCCAGCGGTGACGCCTGGCGGAGAGCCTGGGTGGCGGCAGATGATAGCGAAGCGGTTCTCTTTGGCGGGTGGCGGTTGGAGCGAGCGGTTGTGTCTAGCGGTGGGTTTGCGGTGGACGGTACCGCCGTGAGTCGTCCACCGCACCACGAGGACTGCACCACGAGGACTGCACCACGAGGACTGCACCACGAAGACTCACCACGATGGCCCTCGTGGTGAGTCCAACGTTGGCGAAGCCGCCTTGTGAGTGTTGTTTTGTTGTTGATTGTTGTGTAATATTGTGTAAGGTCGTTTCAGCATGTTGATCACAACTTCACAACTGATGTATATTAACTTGGCATGATGATATCGTCGTTTTAAAGTAGTTAAATAAATGTGTGTTTGGTTCGTTCCGAGCATGTCTACTGTGTCCGTGTTCCGAGAGTGTGGCGTTATCATTTCGGGACCCCACTACGACGAAACTGAAAATGTGTATAGAAGCGGTCTATTTCAGCCCCCCAAGTGGCCATGCACGACAGATCACATGGCTTGCAGAGTGGCATTGCAAAAGTCATGGCGAACGAGACATAGTGCTTAGAAAACAACGGCGCTTACTTTCGACTTCTTCTTCCTCTTCTTCATCTTGCCGCTTTTCCCGTTGCTGAAAAGAGGTGCACACGATTACTTTATAGCACACACATATATATATGCCCACACGGATACACCCACACACACACACACACACACACTGATACAAACAGACGCATGTACGCACACACAATCGGGCACATGTTAGATCTGTGTAACACCTGAAGGCTAAAAGCCTGTTGCACACTTCACAGAGCACTGACTTATTAAAAAAACAGGTGCACCGGACTTCCTGCAAGGCATAACGAACCCCTGTGGGAAACGCGTTAAATTACCATGAGTTGAAAAAAAGACATTTTCAGTGCAGACACACGACGCATTCAAACAAGCATGCCCACACACCCAGGCATCTGCCGCGTGTCTGCACTTCAATATTCTTAGAAATAATTTACCAACTAGCCCGCAACAAGTTATTTTACAATTATTTCAACATTCGCAGCCGGTTCCGGCTTATTTTTTTTTCCTTTGGTCTGAAGCTTTCGTGCCCTGACATGGTTTGCACTGCCCCTAAGATCAGCCAATCTTTAACCAAGCTAAGATGCCGAGTGATGACGCCATCATCCGACGTTACGTGATGACATCGGGAAATTTTACGACGACGTCAGAATGAAGTTATAAATGTGTGTGATGAGCGTCGCCATTACCACGTCGCAAGTAGACGTCATGACATTACGCATCGACGAGGCAAGTCACGTGGGCCTTTATTTCGCCCGCCATGTTTCACTGAGGGTGCACCGTCCAGCGAGACACTTGAGGGTTTCGCTCTGACACAATAGGCCAGTTTGTTATAGGAGCCGTCCTAGCATTGTTACAAGTCACTGTACTGAATAGCACGTCCTTAGATTTGCCTCAGCGTCACAGAACTATATTCTCTTCTCCTTACCTAACCATCGTCATTCATCACTCGTTAGTTCCACTGTCACCTTTCTCTAGAGTAGGGTAGCAGGCCGAAGCAAACTGTGAATCAGGCCGACCTCTATGCCTCTCTGTAAATGAACTCTCTCTCTCTCTCTCTCATGTTGAAGCGACGACAATGGCAACCAGGCCGAAAACAAAGTTATACGGCACCGTCACACGTCCTGTTCGGTCTGCAACGAGCCCCATCGTGGTGGTCTAGTGGACAAGGTACTCGGCTGCTGACCAGTAGGTCGCGAGATCACATCCGAGCTGCGGCAGCTGCATTTTCTATGGATGCGAACATGTTGTAGGCCCGTGTGCTCAGGCTTGGGTGCACGTCGAAGAAACCCAGGTGGTCAAAATTTCCGGAGCCATCCACTACGGCGTCTCTCGTAATCATATGGTGGCTTTAAGACGTTAAACCCCTCGTATCTATCGGTCTGCACGCAAACCACTATGAGGGTGCTTTGCGGTTTCTCACGGAAACTTGACTGAACAACGAACTGACGACAGCGATGTGTTGCTTTTAGACAGCGCTATCGGCACGAATATGAAGCGTTGTTATAGACTCGTCATCTATTTCCTTCTTTCACACTTTTCCTTCTCAAGTATATACAAGGTATACGCAGGTAATTACAGGGTCCACTTTTCTTTTTTTTCACATTGACATCACAAATTATTGCTACAATAATAACATCCACCTATACTTTCCTTAGTATCACTGTCTGTCGGTGCTCGTATTATCCTGTCTATGAAGAAAACGAACTCTGAAATTCTTAAACTACGTGAGGTGCAAAAGTGCTAAGCTACTTCGGGAGAGCAGAGCTTTCGGACGGGATCAATAGAAGTGACGGAGAAGAAAAATGTAACTTTCGCTTTGCAGTCGTGTTATACAAACGCACACGAGACGGCGTTACTTTTAGTACCACTTGCAGCGCTATTCCTTCGTTGCGATTACAATGGATTGACATGGGCCGGGCACGTAGCGCGTAGGCAGGATAGCCGCTGGTTGTTAAGAGTAACTGACTGGATTCCCAAGAAAGGCAATCGCACGAAGGGGACACAGAAAGTTAGGTGGGCCGATGAGATTAGAACATTTGCAGGTATGACGTGGCACCACAAAGCTCAAGACCGCGTTGATTGGGGGAACATGGGAGAGGCCTTTGACCTGCAGTGGGCGTAGTTAGGCTGATGATGATGATGACAATGAATGTTATTCAGACAGTTTATGAGCCTCGCAGAAGCTGAAACAGCGCCTGTTAGACTGTATCATCAGTTAATTACTTAATGCACAAATCTCTTCCAGGTGTATTGACAGTAGCAGTCCTACAATGGAATTTCCTTTCTGACTGATGCTTAATGTAGAGGTGAACTTGGTTGGCAGCCTGTTAATCGCGATAACAAATACTGTGGGATAAATTGGCGAGCCGCATGTGACAAACTAACTCGGATTACTGCATTTTTTTACAACGAGCACTTTTAAAGTGATGACACCTTAATTATGGTCAGTCAGACGTCAAGTCAGTATGACAACGCGGAGATTAAGCTGCTTCAGATTGACAACGACGTCACTGGAAAATTATTGGGCCTCTGTGACATGAATGACGAAGGTACCAGCATGCGTTGTACTGAGAACATTAACGTGACTTCACAAAGGTTACGCCCCGCCATGTAGGCGTTCTAACGTAGCTCTTTCAGTGAAGTCATAGCAAGTCATTTATAGCTGTCGGAAGGATAGAAGCCACGAATGCAAAGGTTCCATCATATTACGTCAAATTCATTTATTAATATTTAATATTTTCACCTTTCATATGTGCCCCCCGGTAACGTCCAGCATACATTAAAATACCGCGCAAGTGCCTTTCCACCTACAAATGAAGAATGATCCAGCCAGATATGAAGGGGAGGAACAGGGGGGACGCTTCTCGGTTCCGGACGGAAATTTAAGATGGCGGCTGGCAAGCCGCTAAAATCAAAATTAAAAAAAATGTCCATCTATGTGTCTAATGAAACATTTCATTCACTGTTTTCATATTCCCTCGTCACTGTCAAATTCGTTAAAATCTCGTCTTATTCGGACGCAAAAGTCGAGTCTGTCCACTCGGCAGGAACCTGCGGTTTTCTGGTGGTTTATCACCGACACCGGAGAGCGTGGCGTACTGCGCACCATTCCTCTCTGCTTCACACTTCCTATCTATGGCTGACATAGCACTTCATATCTCAAACAAGATTAGACATAAAGACAGAAAAACGTTATTTCTATTCCAGAGTTCAACATTATGGTCAATTATCCTGGTCTAGGGATCCCGGGATGTCCAAACACACTTGCTAATAAAGTTTTTCTGTCTTTATGTGTCTGTCGATTCTCCGAATTTTTTCCTGTTAGCACCCCCTTTCCCCTTTCCTCAAAAATGTCATGTGGCCACCTCAGTGTTGGCTTCATGAAACTAGGCCCTCCTTCTCAAAAGGTTGCCTACTCATGATCTCGTGCATTAGATATGTCACACCCGGTGAATGATGTAGTCATCGTTTCAACCAAAGCGGCTGCCCGAGCTTGGAATATGAAGCACAGGACATCTTGCCGAGAGGGTTTGGGGAGGTTTCAGAGAGAAGGGTGGGGGCGGGGTTTGCTTGGTCATTGCGGCTTATTTCAGATCTACAGAATAAGAGAGGGAATCGCTTGAAGGAAGGAAGAAGTGAATGGAAGAAGCCCGTAGCTTCATTTCGCTCTCTTAATTCTTTTTACAGTGTGTGTGGTGGGTGGACTGTCTCCAGAGTGGCAGCTAAACGTCGGTGAGTCGTGAGTCGGAGTTTCACTACTCATCGAGTTCGAAATTGCCCCTTAGCGGGCCCGTGCCACACACCTGGCAAAGCCCGGGTATGGGGGACAACGAGATGCCGCTAGCGCCAAGCGGAGCACCACTTATCCATCCCGCTCGACTTCAAGTTACTGCAGGCTCAGCAACGATAGCGACGTCCCATACAGCGAGGCCTCACAGTGTAAGAAGAGGCGTACAGAGGAAGGAGAAGAGGTTGACAACGATGGTGCCACATCGACATATTCCCTTAATGACATGACACAGATGGATACAGAAGCACCCAAGGAAGACGAGGGAGCTTACACGATGGTCACTCATCACAAGAACCGAGCTACGGAGATACCGGTGGTGTTCAGACCGATCGGCACCGATGACTCCTTCTGGAAGGTGAATCCAAATTGCATGGCATCTGAGATAATCTCTGCTATCAATGAGAAAGTGACATTATCAAGAATAAACAGATACGGAAGTTTTTCTGTTGGAGTACGGCCTTTGTACTCGGCAAATAAGTTGCTACTCATCGAGAGTCTGGCTGGCTTGCCTGTACATGGGATGATACCTAAGTCTTACATGAAAACCCTAGCAAAAATAAAGATGTTCCACTTGAATACAGTGATTATGATCTACTGGAGTATCTTAAAGATGTCGGAGTAATATCAGTCACACGACAAAAGAGATGGGCAAGAAATGAAGATAGAAGTGCCACAATGCAGCCCATACGTAATGTAATACTCCAGTTTAGGCATGACATGCCATTGCCAAAAAGAGTTACTCTCGGCTTTGCGGTTCACAGTCGAGGAATACATTGAGCCGGCTGTGAAGTATTATAACTGCCAGAGATATGGGCATATGGCTAAGACTTGCAGGGGAACCAAGAGATGCAAGGTATGTGCGGGCGAACATGATTACAAAGAATGCACCTCGAAGAGTAAACCTAAGTGTGCCAACGGTGCTGGACCACATCCGGCGTCGTTTTCAGGCTGCTCTCGAAACCGTTTGACATCGGCTGCTCAAAGAAAGAGAATTGTAAAAAGGTACTATAAAATACAAAAAGGTCCAGTGCCCAATGCAGATATAGTCGAAGATGTTCCTGCGGCACAAAAAAATGCAGAACAGTGGCGCCACGACTCTTACTCGGAAGTACTGAAGCGCTCAAGACCAAAAAAAAAAAAATGCGTTGGCAAAAACGTCCGGGCCCAAGAACATGCTGAAGTAGAACCTTCTGCCGGGCCAGACACAACCAAGGAGCCACTGGCTACCAAAGGAAAGGGTCACGGCAACCTGCTGAGGAAAAATTCTTCAAGAAATGCGATCTCAGCGGAGACAACTGGAAACGAGCAAGTCAATTTGCAATTAATCTTTAAGGCTCTTAAAGCAATTCTACGATCCCTGCCACAAGCAGGCTCTTTGCCAGAAGTGAAATCGCTGCTAGATCTTGAGCATCTTATCTTGTAGTAATCATGGCTACCGGACTGTCTAACTGGTACAAAAGAAGTGCAATATTGCAGTGGAACTGCAACGGTTTGCAGAATAAGAGTGGAGATTTTCGGAAATTCGTCGCTCAGAACGGGTTTTCGATATTGTGTATTCTGAAACAAGAGTATCCACTAATTATCGCTTGTCCAACTATGTGGTGTACCAAGCAGAACGTCCTGCTGCAAAAAGCAGAGTGATGTTGTGTGTGAGACGCGATATTCCATCGACATTTGAGGCTACTTAAAAACAGATGCGCCGGAATCCGTTAGACGCAAGGTGAAGTTTGGTAACGTTACTGTAACTGTAGTTAGTGTATACGTGTACCCTCAAGCTAAAGTTTCATACGCACTGAGTATATCTGATCATGATCCGATAATTATATGGGGTGATTTTAACATGCAACATGAAGTGTGGGTTAGTGAACATTGGGATGTAAGGAAGGTGCTATAGTAAAGGTATGCGAAGACCACGGTTACGCTATACTAAATGATGGTTCCCCGACGTTCCTGCGGGGGCATAACTACTGCAGCGTACTAGACATCACTGTGTGCTCGTCTGAATTAGCGGCTGGAGCGGACTGGACTACGGAAGCTGATACAAGATGAAGTGACCACTTGATTCATATGATCCCAAAGTTGAAGAAAACGAGAGATAACCGCCCAACAAGAATGACAAATTGGGCAATATTTAGAGAACTACAGAGACAAAATCTTGAGCCTAGTTATTACGCGGAAACGTATGCATCGAAGATAAGCATTTTCTGATTGATATGTGGGGTTCAACGTCCCAAAACCACGATATGATTACGAGAGACGCCGTAGTGGAGGACTCCGGAAATTTCGACCACCTGGGGTTCTTTAACTTGCACCCAAATCTGAGCACACGGGCCTACAACCACCTACATCGTAAATGCAGCCGCCGTAGCCGGAATTCGAGCCCGCAACCTGCGGGTCAGCAGCCGAGTACTTTAGCCACTAGACCACCGTGGTGGGGCTAGAACATTTTCTAATAAAAGCTGCTTGTGCAGTACCCATTCCATATGGGTATGCGGGTGTTGACGCTGAATATGAGCGGCTTCGGGCAATACGACGCCGATCTGAAATAAGATATCGCAAGTCGGGAATTTAGAAGATTTCAAGGTTGCACTGAAAGTACATTCTGCAATGCAGAACCAACTGCAGGAGCTTTCAACCAAAAGGTGGCAAATTTATGTGCCTCACTTTCTCAACTTACCTCGGTGCCTCAACTGTGGAACATGGTACGCGCCCTCCGACAGCCAGTAGTCCACTCGAGACCACTACAGGCTCTAGCGCTGTCTCGGGGAGTTAGCGAACGTGTGATTACCGAAGAATTTTGCGATCTTATACTGAAAAATGGAGAGACCACCCAAACTAGCGAATATAAATCCTCAGCAGAATCAGCTTCGGCGGTTGTAACAAAGTTCTCTGCAATCAGTTCATCAGATCTGGATGACAGCTTCACACCAGAGGAGCTCCAATATCTGCTGTCTTCAGTAAAACGAACAAGTTCACCAAGACCAGATGGAGGTACATACGTTGTACTTGCTAATTTGTGCGAGAAAGGAAAATTACACCTGTTGAACATCTACAATAAAAGTTGGCAAGAAGAAAATGCTCCGGAAAGTTGGAAGATATCAAAAGTAGTACCGTTGCTGAAGCCAGGGAAGAGCCCTATGCAGTTGGATTCGTTTAGGCCAGTTAGTCTGACAAGTTGTATTTCGAAAGTGATAGAGAAAATGATCACTGAACGAATTTTATAGCGAACGAATTTTGCTGCACGAATTTTAAGACTACTACCAGAAAGCATAGCCGGCTTCAGAAGAGGTAGATGCACAATGAACTGCATTCTGGATTTGGTCACCGATGGGGAAACCCAACGTATACGCAAGGAAACATCACAGTCGCTGTATTCCTTGATGTCCAACGAGCATACGACACAGTGAGTCACGTTCGCGTTCTGGAAGGCCTGGCGTTGCAGGGATTCAAGGGCAAGCTATTGCGTTGGATCGCTGACTTCCTTGAAGCACCGGAAAATTTTTGTAGTTACGCAGAAGGGCCCAACGTCAGAACATGTCGTCAACCAAGGAGTGCCACTGGGCAGTGTGCTAAGCCCTACTCTCTGTAATGCAGTCATGGCGCAGTTCCCGTATAATCTCCCACCTAACATCAGATGTTCAGTATATGCTGATGATATAAGTATATGGACGACTGCTCCATCTTTTTTGGATGTCCAAGAAACTTCTCCAGGTGGATTGGATTGTGTAGGCCGTTTTCTAAGAAAAAGCGGTATGGCACTGAGTATGGCTAAAACAGCCATAATACCGTTTACATAAAAAGGACCTGGAGATTTCCAGATTATTCTGCAAAACCAGCCTATTCAAACGTTAAAAACTCATAGTTTCTGCGTGTGATTTTAGACCGGAGACTAACATGGTCGCCTCATGTCTAGTTCCTTGAACGAAAAGCCAATCAAGCCATTTGAATCCTCCGGCATCTCTGCGGGGCTGAAGGGGGCGGTACTACAGAGTGGCTATTAGCCCTACATGTTGCGTGGATACGCACCATCGTAAGTTACTCACTGCTTCTGCTGCACGGACTTCCAGCCTCCACCGAGAGGAGACTTCACGTGTTATCGACAAGGAGCTTGAGAGTATGCCACGGTCAACTTCCAGTGCTTTAGTGTATGCAAAGGCTCGACAACCACCTTTGACAGTACTTTGAGCTAAAGAAACATCTCGAAATTTATTTAGAATTTTCACGCAACATGAAAGTCACCCTTTATTCGGTGCACTAACACAAAGGACGGCAACGCGACTACGGGATAGTGTATCATCATTTCAAGAAGTAGTACCAGGATTTAAACGACGGAAACCTTCAAAACCACCTTGAACGCTGCCGCTTCTCAACGTTATTTGTGAAATAGATGGCATTAAAAAAAACAGACATGGCGCCTCTAGTAGCGGCAAAGATAGTACTTCATCGTTTTTCATATAATGCATAATGAAAAAACGAAGTTATACAGATGAATCATGCACTGAAGTAACGTTAGCCTGTGCGGTCTTCATACCCGAAGTTCATAAAAAGAGAATGTACAAATAGTAGTACAAATCTTCATCGACGACAGCAAAATTGCTGGCTATCTTTGAAGCAGCTAAGCTTATCTGCGAGAATTCCGAGCCACAAAAGTGGGTGATATGCACGGATAGCAAACCTGCCCTTCAGCTAATCAGAAATGCGAGATCGCTTTACAAAAATGGTGAAATAGCACAATGTATTTCAGAAACTGTACAATATGCCTCAACGCAGGGTCACAACATCGTATTCCAATGGATACCCAGTCACATTGGAATAAAGGTAAATGAAGAGGTAGACAGCCTCGCCAAGAAGGCATTAAATGAAGGACGGTATTCCGCAATCCATATGTCTGGGGTTGATATTCGACAATTTATAACGCAATGAGCTAACCATTTTCCAATGAGAAGTGGTTTGATAGCCCTAATTTAAAGGAAACAGTGCTTTATGAAGTTGATCCACACAGAAAATTTTTCATAGCGATAGATCTCCCACGACACTTAGCGACATTAATCCACAGACTTCGATTGGAAGTAGCATACACAAACAGCTTCCTGCACAAGATACATCGATCTAACTCACCGGAATGCCATTGTGGTAATGCAGAAGAAAATGTTCACCATATTCTTTTGGAGTGCATTAAATACGCGGATGAAAGAGAAAAATTGCAGAACAAATTAGCAAGTTTCGACAGACTGCCTCTCACATTAAAGAAACTACTTGGACCATGGCCAGAGATGCATCTCCAGAAAAACGCCAACATCTTCCTGACAGACTTTTTAGTGTAGACCGGACTGGACAAGCGCCTGTGATAGCCAGCCAGGGATGGATATATATGAAATGTGTTTGTGCATATAGTGACAGTATAGAAAAAGAACGTGTATGTGTGTAAACAGTTTATGACTGTGTGAACTCCTGTAAGAAAACTGTGTATTGGCATGATATTCGAACTGGTTTCAGTGTGCTATTATGTGTTTTTATTTCCGGATTGTTCCTTTTTGGGCACCGTTCACTATTATTTTTTTTTCGCTGCAGAACTTCGTGATATGGAGTAGCCGAGGCAATATTGACCTCGGCCTCTCTACAGCAAAACAGTTAAAACAGAGGGAAGCGCTTGCTCGCCATTTTGTGGTATTTCTATCTCGTTTCTTAAGCACGCTGCTGTTTAAAACGCGAGTCCCTGTCACTGGGAGCGATGTCGAGGAACTTAGGTGATAAATGTCCAGGACACACTAGCGGCTGTGAACGCTATCTTTCAAAGGTGTGCTCGTAAATCCTCTGCCTCTCTTTCTACCCTTCACGTTCCTTCGAGTTTCGCATTCGTCAATGATTATCTCTAAACCAAAGCCACAAATCTGACGGAGCAAAAAAAAAACGTGATAAAAAGAAGTGCGCAAAGCGAGATATCGCCTAATCATTACCTGTTTTAGCTAAACTTGAAAAAAAATGTGCATACTAAGGTGAACTGCTTGTTCGCTTTTTGATCGCCTCGACGTCACGCAATACAACTTCATCGCTAACGCCGACAACACGCGGATCAGTCTCCACACATGCGAACGTTTTGTCATCTCAAAGAAATATTTGGCGCATGTGCATGCACTAATTCAACCACTCACCAAGAAGTCTCGCTCCAGCTTTGTATCCGCCAGTGGCGTTTCCGGGGTCGAAGTCACCTGACTCTTGCGTAGTAGCCACTGGCAATACCACAGACTCGTCCCTTTCAATTAAGGACGTGACTGTCGGAGCTACGTCCAGGAGAAACGGCAACTCCGTCGTGGTCGTCGGTGCAGTGATATTGGTGAACGTTCGTCGAAACACCGTCATCTTGGCGGTGAGCTTCAGGCGTTCCGTCTTTCGCGTCTTGAAGTTCTGTTCGTCGACAGCACAGCTGCCGATACGGTCGTCACCGAGCTCCAGCCCTCGGAACCCATCCTCTGGGCTGACGTCATCGCCGGGAATCTCGAATCCGCAGTCGGTTTCCTCGGCAGTTACGATCACGACGCAGCAGCAGACGCTCATCCACAGAACCACGGACGACATCTCCGATGATGTGCTAAGCCTCGTTTGCAAGACCAGGAAGGACGAGATCGACGACGCCGACGAATCAGCGGACCGCGGGCGACATGATGAGCCTCGTCCGATAAGGGTTAGAGAGACGAGACAGACAATTAGCAATTACCAATGACGTCGACTAATTAGCATCTTTTGTCCGTTGTAACACACGAGACTTCATCGTGTGCCGGAAACACATTGGTTCGGAATCGGAGCTAGCGCGCTGACTAGTCCTTAACCAGGAGCAGACGATCGCGCTGCTCGCCCTTCTGTCACCTAGAGCAGACGTCGCGACCTGACATCATCCCGTAAGCCAGAAGGACTGCCTAATTTGCGGCTGCTTGAAAAAAAAAAAGCCGGCGAAAAGGACAAAGGACAGGACGCTACCTCGAGCGAGACAAAAGGCGCAACACGCTGAAAAAAAGGGGGAACTGCGATGAAAACGTGACCAGCGCTCTGTTGTTCTAACATCCACCAGTTCGTTTGCTTTTTTTTTTTTGTTATTCGCAGGCGGTATCAAAAGAAGCGGTCGCAGTTGGCCCTCTTTCCCTCGGCTGGCTCTCCGGCGCTTATCAAAAATCGCGAGGCCAGTGAAAGCACGCGGTGTATGTATGAGCAGACCGACAAATGATGCGCCCCTGCGTACCCGGACGGAGAGAAACAGCCAATGGAGTCGCTTCTTCCTGGAAACGCGGCCGAGCACTCGGTTCTCTACAGACGGGCAAGGCCTTGTGCAGCGAGCGGCAAAACAATATAGTTTCAAAAACTTGTTTAGCCGGTGAAAGGTGTTTCTAATTTTAATTGACTGCGTAGAGGTAAGCACACGCCTGGCGTTTCACTATCGAGTTTCGCAAGTTTAAAGAAAAAAATTGTGGTCTAGTACAGGTACCTCTCAATCACCTGGGGGAAATTGTACACACAATCGAGTGCAAACTCATTGTCTTGAAAGATAACAAAATAAACAACACTAGAAATGTATTTGGTCAGGAGGTCTGGAAACTGACGTTTAATTTCAGTCGCGACTCTGTTATCTTACTGCATGCGTGACTAAGCACCTTGCCCGCATTTATCTGTTTTTGTTTGTAGAGTGGGTGGGTAGGGGGTTGGGGAGGTTAGAAGTATGAGCTCATACATATTGGCCCAATTTAACCATCGGATCAAGTTAAAAACTGATGCATTTTCATCTGATTTTCAGTGCTTAGACAAGTGGCTTATCGCTCTCCACTATTGTTCATTTGTTTTCTTTAGACACCATTCACGTCGCAAAGCTCAAGGACGTTGCAACGTAGTTGGCGGTGTGTGTGTGGCGGGGGGGGGGGGGGGGGGAGGATACAGCACGAAATAAATTACAGCATCGTTCACAGTGTGAACTTGGTTTTTAGTCAGCCTAGCTGTTTCATGGGATAATTGTTAGGGCGGAAAACGAGTCAGCACACACGTTTCCATCTTTTTCTAAGCATATATTTGAATATATTTTAGTAAAACTTCTTGTTGGGCTGGTTGGTGCATGTTACAAGAAAATTAGACGACGCATAACACCGGGGAAAAAGGAAGTGGAAGGAAATAGTGCCGTTTGGCAACTAAGGTTATTCTTGCCAAACCTCCGCTATATATGCACCATGTCACACATGCGCCAACACACCATAACATGCATCGCACAATCAGACACTCACACTGCACGTGCTAGTTCAGAAATCTATAAACAAAATCAAATTCAGCTGTCCGGAGTACCGCCGACGTATCGCTAATACAGGGGGGGGGGGGGGGCGGTGTGGTTTTAAGTGAAAAGAAGAGAAAAGTGAGTCCCGTAACTGTTCTCAGGGGAGAACACCTCAACAGTAGCTCACGTGGGATGGGGTAAGGAGGGATTAAAGAATAGGAATAAAAGGTATAGAGATAGAGAGAGGGGGAAGGAGAGAGCGGAGCGCAGGGACAGCCACATGCGGAAGTAAGGAGAAGATAGGAAAGCTGGACACGGTCGCAGGAGTGCGAGGACGGGGCACCACTCGGCGAGAACTTTTGTCGGCGTCAGGAGATGGCGTATATGGCGAGCCAGTCGGCCAGAGCTGCGCTGTCGTCGGAGATCGCGGGGGCACAACCGGTCGGCACGAAATCCAGACAGCTCGTCCTCTATCGCTATTACAAATATCTTTTTTCTTCCTGAGGAAGTATACTTCCTCAGAAGCATATATGCTTCTACCATCAATCGCTCAATCGCGTCTTTTCTTCTATTTAGAATGGCAAAATTATAAAAAAAGTCTTGCCACACATCCAGACGTGCTGCAGTACATAGGCAAGTGTGCCAAAAGATTATTCTTGATCGAAAAATCATGCTCGTTCGCTCGATTGTTTACGTATCGACTGGTTTGGCCGATGGAGGCCCTCCACAGGAGAGCGGAATTTCTTAAAGCACTGCCATAGCACACGGGACGTTGTGCCTCGGACGCCTCTTACGATGTACAGACGTCAAGCAATGGCGACGAGGACCTCTAAGAACCCATTTTGTTCTTTGTGTTCGTCTTTTTCGTGCTTCTAATGGACCTACCCTGCTAACCCTAGACGCTCTTGTTCCCAGCAAGGTGGCTACTGCGTGCTGCGTCGCTTCATTCCTTCTTCATTCAGCTACGCCGCCTTTATCGTCTTCTTCAAACAGTGTGTGTTGGGTAACCGTGGAGTGCGGTTGTTGTTCTTTTCTTCGGTGCTTCGCACCAACCCGCGTGTTCGGGCTGGTCGGCGTCCCCGCCGGTCGCGTACGTCTCCATCGGCCGTCTTCTTCTTCTGCTTCGTCGGGACCACCCAGCCGCCAACACAGCAATGGCGTCAGCACTTCACGCTCCGACGCAGGGCCTCGGCTCGCTCGGACTGACGTCAGCGCTACCAAGTATTGAAATGGCTATGGCTGCCTCAGTTAACGATAGATGAAGCACGCGTTGGTTTCATTAGTATATTTCTGTTTCCATTCTGCCTGACCGGCTGGTTGGACGTTCTAACTTGGCATCCCGTTTCTGCCGCGTTTCGCTCGTGGCTACGTTATCGCGGCGGCATGTCGTCAATGAATCATTGCGTGCGACAGCTTGCACACCTTTCGAGTTTCAATTCGCGGGGGCTCCTAAGAGAAATCGCATGTACCAAAAAAAAAAAAATCACAGCATATCCACGAAGTGCATGATGATGAATGGCACGAAGCGTCCGTCAGTCCGCCCGCGCTTCCCTCAGTCCGTTGTTGCTTCTGTCCATCCATGCGTCCATCTGTGCGACCGTCCGTGCGTCTCCGCGTCCCTCCGTGCGTCCGTCCCTGTTTTCGTCCATCTGTTCGTAAGTCCGTGCGTGCATCTGTCTGTCTGTCTGTCTGTCTGTCTGTCTGTCTGTCTGTCTGTCTGTCCCTCCGTACATGCATCTGTCCATCCATCTAGCGAACACTTCAAGTGTCGCCATCTCGCATCTTTTCATGATATAGAAGTACCTCCATTTGGCGGACATTTCAAGGACTAAACCAGAGGTGGCACGGCCGGACTAGAGGAGTGGCACGTGTGCATTCTCTTAGGTCCTGCGCTTCGTGTCTAGTTCCCACCTTTCGCCGCCGCTAGTTCATGGCGCTGCAGCCCAACCCTCGCTAACCTTTGCTAAAACCAAGCAGGTTACGCCCAGCGAGTCTAACGTGGCAACCGTTTCTGGTGATATAGTGCTCAAAGTGCGTCCTTCTGTTACACGTTTTGTTTTAGTAAGCATGAAATTCGAGGCAAATTTTATTGAAGTCACCGATACTCGTCTCTTTAAGTAAATTCATAAGAAACAACTGTCACTTTATTTACGATTAACGTGCGCGGGTTTCCTTCTCGATTCGAAAGGGTGCCTGCGTGCCGCTCCTCTATTGACTCTTTCACTGTTTACAATCACAGTCCCTTGATGACATCCGGTTTCGTCCACCGATATGCCGAATAGCATCGGTGGGCAAGAAGAACTTTGGAAAATTGCCCACTGATTTTCAACACTTTCTTCGTTTTATCTGACAAAATATATAAAAGGAAACGATTATGTATTATAAACGATTGCCTTGATCTTAACGCACGTTTCTTTTATCTGATAAACTAAAGATAGACATTTCTTACATATAAAAGGAACTTGAAAACGTGCTCTCAGTTTCGAAGTTATGAGAAGGTAATAAGGGTAACCGGAAGTTTTCTTTGGTACACCACTTGTGACGTTGAAACCATCTATAGGCCGATCGCGGCTACCTACTACTACTACTACTACTACTACTACTACTACTACTACTACTACTACTACTACTACATACATCGCGGACGCACGACCCACGGCTTAGGGAATTTCGCCCCCAAAAGCAGAGCAAACGCACGATACTTTTTTTTTCAAACCGCTGACACATAGTAGTCTTTTCCTTTAGCTTTTTGAAGCACCGATTCAGCCGTTGCTGCCGCAACGAACGAGCCAGGGTACACAGCTTAATCTGCAACGCAGAAGCACAGTTCCCCAACCTGCTGAAGAGCTCTTTCATGGAGTCGTAGTTGCGGGATAAGTGTCCTATTATGGTAATTACGTTTTATGTATTCACGGTATTGCAAATAAGGATTCAGGCTTTTTGAAAGAGAGCAATAGAAGAGCTCCTTGCGGTAGAAACGTAAATGTAATCTCGACAAAGAATGTTAAAAACATGTCAGCACACCCCGTGTTCGCGACGTGGTCGAAACGACAGAACACTAGGGCTGGAATTGCTATCATAGTCAACCTCTCGTAGGACGTATGTGGGTAGTTCAAACCTTAGAGCCGTGTGTGTAGCCGATACAGACCAGTTGCAGTATCTTGTACTGGGACAGCTTTGTGCTTTCCCACAGTAGAGTACTGAGCATTTCTAGATCGTTAATTATTTTATTCTAAACAATTTAATTTTATCCTACTGACGTCATCAGCAGAGTATATCGTACGTTAAAATTTCGAACATTTTGATCTAGTCCATCAAAACATGGCCTTATCCAGTGTGAGGCCCACCGGATGGCTTTGTGCTCTCCCATAGTAAAGTACTCTAAATCGTCAGCCACTTTTTTCTAAACACGGGCAAGTCGACAGATTACATTTTTGCGTTGAAGCCATAGTTCAGTACAAGGTATTTGAAATCATTAAACAC